ATGAATATTATATAAACAAATAAAAACTTAGTTCCTTTAGCAAATCATTTGCTAATCACATTTAAGCCAAAACGTTATACAAAAGTCACCATCGCTCAGCTAAAAAATTCATAACAAAATCTCTACAATTTCTCCACAATTTGCCGTTACAAGCAGCTGATAAGAAATTGCAATGCCCTTCGAAAAGCTATACAAACATATTGAATACTTTGGTAAACATTTTTCATTTATTTATTATAGCAAATTTTATAAATAAGAATACTCAAAATACACATACTTTTGTTCTCAAACTTGGCTGTAACTATACTGACATACAAAGGGCATACAAAAGTCGCCATTGCCATAACAAATGATACAAAAACAACATTTACAATTGCCAAAGCGCTGCAAGCAGCTGATAACTTTCACCTTCACATTGAAATGTGATAAAAAGCTTACTAGGGCGACCGTTGCTGTTAGCTGAAGAGCTAGACACAAATTATCAATGTCAATTTTTGCAATCGAATGTATGTGTGTCTTAATATCAAGAAGAGGAAGTACACAACAAAAAGAAAACAAACAAACCCACAATACAATTTGTTATGTTATTTATTGCTTTGGTATGTGCGCGGCAGTGCCTCAGTGCCTCTGCAATGCCAGAGAGTTCAAGGTGAACCATTTCTAGTTGTTGTTCAATAGTTCACAATACACCTTACACACATTAAATTAATACACTTTACATTCATCAATTTGCACTTTACCTAAAAATTGAAGGAATATGAATCGATTTTTTATATGCGCGCGTTATCTTTGCACTGTTCAAGAATTTTTCGTTTATTTTTGTTTGTAACGCGACGCACTTAAAAGACCTTTTGGACTATTGAGGGTTTCACTGCGAATTTAGCATGCACTACGCATACCAACGTTTGTTTGTTGGTCTTTTGCACTTGCATTTATGGCCGAAATAGTTGAGTTGACGGAATAGAGTGCGACGAGACGTCTTACTCTAACAAAATTTATGTGATATATGTGCAGTGTGACCGAATACTGTAAAGCCAAAAATATTGCGTTGCATTGAAATATCGATAGAATATCGCTGCTAAGTAGCGATTGTATTTGTAAATGACATCGATACTTGTAATTTGAAAGTTTTTATTGCTGAATGTTAGACTTTGAATTTTTGGATAGTTATATGGTTATATACTAATATGTTGATATTAATTTATTTTATATTTCATGAGAACTACTACAAATATGAGTATATAATTTAGTAATTTTATTACAACGAGAATACCTTTTGTCATATATAACAGATATTTATAACGCTTTTTTGAATCACTTTTCATTTCATGATTTTCGTTCACATATTTCCCTTTGATGTGAAGCACTTTTGTAATCAAAAAATATATACATCTCATCATTTGCACAAATAAATCAACAATTATTAATTTCGTTTTCCTTCACATATGTTCGCAGCTGTTGTATATAATATGTGTTTCACGCGTTTCACAATTCCTCTTCCACCTTCGCTCGCACAGTTGCGTATATATGTATACAATACGAATACAATGCTATTTTGTGTTTTGTTTTTACAGGAAGTTTCGTAAGACCACCGAGCGTCTATATATATATGTACATATACATATATGTAGTGGTGCCAAGATGCATAAACAAAGAATTGCAACGCAAAGCGGATGATGTGAAGAGCATACGCTCAATTTTATTCACATTTCACCACACTCTTTCCACGATCATGCAGCGTTTCACTTGGCGCTCTATCGCTCATTCCGAAAGCTATGCCAAAAAGCTAAAGAAACGAAAAAGAATCGATGAAAAAAGATTCGAAATACCCGAAATATAAGATCCCTAAAGCTTGACTAGGCCTCTTGAATGGCATAGAATGTTCACCAAAAGACTTTCAGTTGCGAGCGGACCTCTGCACGGAGTGGAACAAAATTGAAAAACTGAAAAGAGTACAGTCCGCGGAAACCATTCAATTAATAGAAAATTCACATACATATGTATATACATATCTCTATGTATATATATATATTTT